TCATGATTCGATATTTATAAAAATTAGCCTTCAAGCGTATATAAAAATGAAAACTTAAAAAATAGGACTATTTAGAAAATCTATGTCAAGTTCTTTAACCTATATCAGTGTGATGGCTTTATTATTACTCTACGAAAATTGCAATGTTATATAATAATATTACTGAAAACGTCCTTGATTGTCACTATGGTAACCCCGTTGTCATCATTCTGCCCCCGACCGTCTACTCAATATGTTCTTGATATATGCCTCGGGCAATAACAAATAATTCGTGATCATTTCTCGGAGATCAGCGGTAACGCAAGAGTGAATACTGACATTCTCTGCATTAACAGTTCAAAACGCAGAGAATAGGTTGTAGCTATACCCGAGGATGACTGTGTTATGTAAAGCGTTTATGAAAGTTACACATTTCCTGAAGTTGTCATACAATATTTAAAGCGGAGGAGTCGTCACCTGCGCATGCGTCAGATGGCCATATCGTGTCATTGTTTACAAACAAGCGTCTACCCATGAGCCTTTGCGTTTTTAGCATGTGTTGTGCTTGGGACTCAATTCCCGCGCATGCGCAAGTGACGACCCTCCCGCTTTAAAAACAACGTCATGCATACATCCAAATATTTAGTCGTTATTATTTATCCGTGTATAATTCTTATGTTTTGGAAGTACAGCATTTTACAACATATTCAGAAAGAAAAAAAAATTGTCATCCAAACAGTTATGTATATGATTATGCACAACTTTAGATGCAAGGTTTTGCAAAATATATACACAGTGTTTTAATAAAAATCGACTGGAAAATTGAATTTAAATTTAAATGGGTCAACGTTTATGTCGATGTTCTACCACTAAGCTTTAGTGCCATACGCCATCGTCATTCTAGAGGTTGAGGAATAGTTGCGAGAGGTGTAGCGCACGATAACATAATTCCGCTACAAATCGTCTTTCTGTGTTAGGTGCTCATCACAAATACTTGTGCAATTCAGGTTATTGTACCATCAGCGCATTATACATCGTCGACGTCATCATCATCTTTTTCGGGGGCCCGCGTTAGCTGTCGTCGCCTCCGGTCCACATACCAGGCAATGGTGGCGGCAACAACGAGTCCAACGAACACGAGTACCACGATAATGGCAATAATAACACTGAGGGGAGTGGAAGATCCACCACCATTGCTATCTGCCACACGTTCTGAAATACATAATTGGTATAACCAGACACTCTAATTACAACGACATGGTTAAATAAACCAACCATTATTTGAAAGATTTCTATTCCGTTAAATTCAATAAAATAACCGATTCTAAATCATAATATGTATTGCATACTTTCACAATAGATGCCACTGTAATTCGATGTACAACTGCATATCCCATTTTTACACAATCCATCATTCTGACAAGGTAGGTTACACGGTAGGTCTGTGAAAATATAAAGTGAGTGGTAAATCAAGAATACATAGTTGCGTAGCGGGTGGTACGTAACAATGAACAGCATACCGATAATGGAGAATATAATAAAAATATATAATCTACCTTCACAGGTTGTGTCATTGCTTGGACATGTACACATTCCATTTACACATATCCTACCGTCTTCACAGCGGGGATTACATTGCTGTGCTGAAAATTGGTTCAACAGTTGGTTAACATGACAACGACGTAAGTCAGTTCAAAGTGTTTCTATGATCAAGAACTACCCCTCCCCCCCAAAAAAAAAACACGATTTGACAGTGTAGTATATGTATTTAGCCTTGACTGTCACAAAACAGTAACGAAAAAGCTTTTGGCCAAACCATAGTTAAGCCATGAAATTCACAAATTCAATTCGAGAAACGAAGGGATGACTATGTGAAATGGTACAATCAATCATTCGCGGGTTTGTTAATCACTTTCCTATACTTCAGTTGTAGTAGAGTTACTAACTAACACGTTGCTGGCAGAAATTAGCAATACCGGCAGAAATGAGCAATACCTTCCGGCTCATGTGCCAATGTAACAACTGTTCACTTACCTCCACAATGGAAAGGCATGACAAACACAACGACAGCAATAGCTATCAAGTATGATGCCATTTCTGATATATTAGTTCTACCTTTTCAAATATACTTGAAAAGAAATCTGGAAAAATGAAGATATGTATATATATTAGAGTGGACATGTCCAATACTGTCGAAAAACCCTATGCACAGTACATGTGGGTAAATTAATGTGAATACAGAAACAACATGGAATACTTTAAAGGGCGGCAGTCGTCGTGCCGCGTCCAGTTCGAATGGGACTCATAGCGACGTATACAACGCGTGTAAAATACATTGTTTATTTACATGAAATTCGAACACGCGCTGCGCGACGACCACCGCGCTTTAAGCATTGTTTAAAATAATTGTGTTTGATAGTGCATATTGTAGGGACGCAAGTTGCGTTACTGAAACAACTGTACAGCTAAATATAACCCGGTGTTATGAATTCCTATTTATGAACACTACGAAAGCATCCGGGATATATTACAGTAAAAGCCAACACATATTTGTCAAAACGGGGATTATATACTTGATCATACACCACTATTCATCGAGTCGAAGTGCCCGTGCAGATAAACTGCCTAATGTTGTTTGAGAACAGTATTTTGATTGGATAATAATGCAAGCCATTGATATTCTATATGGATGAATGTGGTTTCAGTCTCGACTCGACCCAGGGTTGCGAATGCGAGATCTCTCCACCCAACAACAGTAACCGGGTTCAATATAACCAGTACACCCTGAATGATTCATGTGTTCATTCTAGTCAACAGGATACTGTGTTAATTTACTGTGATTTCATTATATAGTATACAATTGTTCTCAGCAAACACTAACTGAATTCTTGGCAAAATGTCACAAAAATAGAGTAATATTGATTGGTTAAGACTATTTGGTTGATTATTATTAGAGAGACGTCTGCGGAATCCGGATGTAAAGTCACTGTGTATGCACTACGTACAAGGTTGGAACACTATGGAATGTGCGATCGCCCCTCTGTCGAAAAACTTGTAAACATACATCTGATACATTATGAGTTAGTCCTTCAGTCTAACTCGTTACCACTGTAATATATACTACATACCTATTCAAAGCTGTGTTGATTCTACTGGCTGGTGTGGTCACATAACCGCCCAGTGCTACGCCGAACATCGGTGGAAACAAGAACTACGCCCGTATTTAAACCAGACGCTTTATGCTTAACCTCAAACAATACAACTTACTCGTTCTTTCTTCACATAGTTCAAAGGTGATGTTGTTTTCTACAAGAGCGTTAACAATGACGTCTCATCGTATAGAAATCACGCTATAAACCTTGGGTATATGGTTTGGCGAAGCTTTATTCAGTACCGAGTCGCAGGACACGGCCAGCGGCAAGGATCCAATTATTGTATTTGGCAATCTCGGCACACTTGGTATACTGTTAAACAATAAATGGGCCAACCACGGCCACCAAAAGTATGACATGGAAAGGCCATATCGATTAATTTCACAACTACGACATGTTGTACTTAAGTACATTCTTATTCTCTAACTTCCTAATTCTTCCACATATTACATATTGCCAAAAAATCATATGCAACTCTACTTCCAATCAACCAATATATCTCTTACAGAAAAAAATTGTACGCCTCATCACTTTCTCTGACTTGTATTCCAATGCTGCTCCTCTGTTCCAAAAACTAAGAATACTTAGAAGCCTGTTGATTTGTCTTTGATCTCAGTGATAACTATTTTGTGCAGAATGTAAATAACTATTTAGATCCACGTTCCCATAATTATCAAACCCGATCAGCATTAGTAGCTTGAATTAGTATACCTAAAAACTGAATCTTACACTCAATCAACACAGTCTAAAATACTCTGCAACAAAACATTGCAACTCGTTGCCTGGTACATTTAGAACCATCACTAACAGACACATATTTAAAGCGAAGTTAAAATACTCTCTCTTGAATATTTGATTTGTAATATTTATCTTACTTTTTTATTTGAAAATGTATTTGACTATGAAATTATATACACAGGGGGTATGTATCCGACTAGGTCTGATGAAACTATATCTGCAATCCCCGTCAAAAAAAGTATTATAAGTAACGCCCATTATCTTATAAATGCACTATTTATATATTTAATGTTTTCATTTTTTGTGAAATAAATTTCATTGATTGATTGATTCATTCATTGATTCATTCATTCTTCAAAAGAAATGTATAACCTTTGTCAATATAAGATTATTCACATCCAGGAAAGTACACATAAATCTTGGACATCGTTTTTAAGTATATGTGTATATTTGGAACCTGACGTACTAGTATTTCTTCTACGCAATGTATATATTTTTTTGTCACAGTGATGTATTCAATCATGATTTTCTTTATTCTTCAGCCTGCTATTCATGAATGTCAATGCTTTTTGATAGTTACTAGCGTGGTTTTAATGAAAAATGATGGAAAGAAATACATATGTCATCTAATCATATCTGCGCCAACGAGTACACCAATCCTATGGTAATAAATAAGTATTACTATTTGGGTTGGCATTCTAGGAACGTAACAATTCTATAGCTAGAATGTCAACTAATTTTGTTTGGACTACAGACTCTGGTCATTCTTGCATTCGATAACATGGTATGTAGTTAGTCGATTAATTTATGAAATAATTTTCGTTGAGTTCTGCATCATGATAACTTCCAACCACAGTTCTTCAGACACATTATGTAAAACTAAACACTTTTAGAAAACTGGCGATTAGCACCATTTTTGCTACTTTCTGTTTTCCACCCATAATATCCAACATTATTTGTTTCTTTATTCTGATTTGTTTGTCTGCATTTCTAATTTATGGCGAATAAACCATTATCATAACAACGCGCAGACTATCTGAAACGAGAAGAACAGCGCCATCATAGTCGTATGAAAGTAGGTTGAGGTCATACAAGGCTATAGACACGGGTTATAGGTGATATACTATACCGAGGGCTCAGAGTTCATTTTATCTGCATCGGGTTTAGTGTGTGTTTGGAAAGGTCCTACGACCCATCGCAATCTAAAAGGAGATACACTGATGTTAAACACTTTCAACGACACCTTGGTAAGCTTCTTGATATTGAATCTGCATGTTGTGAGTGCATGTTTATTTGACGGAAATTCGATGTGAATCGGCCATCTGCCTAGACTGGAGACGTTGTACTTTGTCCCTCTTTTGAATAATGCATTGTATGTAACATTTGTTGTGTAAACATGCTTTGAACTGAACCACTCGGAGAAAACGGCAATGTTATGGACTTATCGACACACAAAGTGTGTATACAGAAATGTTTAGATTAAAAATTAATTTCTTGTATTTCTTTGTGCCCTAGCGTCGCATTGTATGACGTATTCACAACAACATACATTGCCTAACTGCACGGGACGTAAATTACCGTTGGTATATATTGGTATACACTATTCAGAGTCGGGATCAAAGGTCTTCTAGTGCCAGATATAAGATCTTGTCTCAGCCAAATTGGTAGGATTGCTCCCAGGGGATTGTATGTTCAGATTTACCATGTTATAATAATTGTTGGTTACTTATGACTGATTTGTTTGCACAACACTACTGTAAAATGACTAATTTTCACTGGGTTTAAATTCCAATGATTTACCATTTCAGGCATATTCAATGGGTTTTAAATTCACGGTTTTACATTTAGATAATGTGTTCTATGCTAAATTTTACATATTCACTGGGTTTAGCGCATTTTCCAGTCAGCGAAATAAGCAAAATTAAAACCCAGTGAATAATTAATCCTTTTACAGTATCCACAACACAACTTGAACACAATGGAAAGCATTTTATCAGCCAAAGATACTTTACAGAATGTTAGTTAATAATTCCCAGAAATAAGGGCAGTTACGCCTAATTGGTGACGTGCACCAGTGGGATACTGACAATGCCCCTATTAGAATTGAAATCTATACGGGGAGACTTACAGTGTCCGTTGTTTTGTATTTACTCCAGTGTCATGTGTATTATTAGTTTGTAACTGGTCATTAAACGTCTGTCCCTCGGCACTGTTTTCTTTTCTTTTTGCAAAACTGAAACGCATTCAGGTTTTCTAATCGTTAAGCTGCAGTCCCCGATTCCAAAGGTACCACCCCCTTGTTTCAACAGGCTGTAAGAACTATTTATAACCGTGTGATTTGTGATCTATATCTATAGGAACACTGTGGGACAATGGCGTTCAACTCGAGGCAAATATTATCGTAGCAATACGTAGACCATAAACAGCAATGTTTATGTTACATGTCACTATATTCTTTGTGATTCGAATCGTCGATCATAACGGTAAGTTGTATGCAGTGTACACCACGGGTACACTCCTGTCATATTATCTTGGTGAAACACTCTCATGAATTACCTGGTGTATGGCAGTTTTTATAAACAACTTTCATTATTTACATCCCAGTATTTATCGATAATCGTTTAAAAAGAAACGGATTCCAAATAGACATGACACGTGTTTTCGTTGGAATTACCACATGGCCTTATTCCTGGAAGCGACACGTTATTTGCAGTATACCGATTCGTCATGTTCTGGCTTGAACGCCTGGGTCACAGTAAAACACAAACGGGTGGACCATTATATCTGCGCTGAGGTAGTTCCGTATGACATCACATTTTCTTTTAATATATATAATAATTATTGTTTCCAGATACGTTTGACTGAACTGGAGAATACTGATCGTGTTTGGGTATTAGATAAACCTTACATTTACAGAACTTAATTTTAGACTCGTAAGTTTTGAATGCGATCAAAAAAATGTGATACATAGTCGTTTACAATCGGACTTTTTGTAATTGGCAACTACTGTAATAAGTCATATATTTTAACAACTTTATTCATCTAGACCTTGAGTAGGTAATGTATGCGTATGTGCCGTGTACGGGGATTATTAGTAAAAGATGATTTGTTTCTGGTCCTGGTAATTGTTCTAATATTTGAACACCTTTAAATCTGACGCGCACACTGGTCAGAGACAAGTCTGTTTTTATGGAGTGATTGACATGCGATTTTCTCAAGACGTTCTCCGGTAAATCACGCGTTCTAGATCGTTAATCACAAATATACATACTATTCATTTTAGTAATCGGATGTGAACACTACACGGTAAAAGGGTCATCATCATACGATTCTGGCAACATATCGTCGCCACAGTTTCCTGCTGCATTTCCGGATGGACCATACATATGTACATATACCATAAGTCACAGTGCTGGCGGAATCGTGGCTTTACAGTTTCATGATTTTATAACACAGGGACAAATTAATCACGATTATCAATGTTCAGAGGAAATCTACGTAAGTAGCAAAACAATCGAGAAGTTATTATTATGAATAGTAATATAATAATTACAATTTTGATTGTGTAATTACACATGAATGAAAGCTGCACCATATAAGCATTTATAAAACACCACTCAGAATTAGGATGTTTATGACGTCATAGCTTTATTATCACACGCTAATGTAAAACTCTATTCGAAAGTTTATTCATTTCAAATAACAACCCTCAAATTTAACTAAATGTGTTTAATTTTCATGGTGGTGATATTTTAACATCAATGTTGAATCCTTCACAACGTCTCATTAGATTCGGAGAAGGGTCTGGCTGATAATATGTGTTTACCCTTGCCTCATCCAATGTGGCACTGTGGGGTTTCATTATTTAAATAGTGCATAACAGACCAAATAATAACATTAAATATTAACATATTACGATGACCTTAATGGGCGACAGTCTCCCAACCATGCATGCCATATGATATGGGTTCTATATTAACAAAGACTGCGACTTTAATTGTTAAATTGATTGATTGTTTAATTAATCAACGAGTACAAAAAAGAGATTTAGCTATATAATTGGTGGATTGTCTGAGAGACATTTTCAATTCCCACTTTATGGTCTTTATATAGATATACGAAGATTCCAGGAAGAACGCAAAGCACTTTTGTTCACAACTCCCGATAATATTTACGTCGACTTCATCGACTGTTATTGTGGAATTCAACGTAAAACAGAAAAATGATTACAAAGTTTCTGGATTTAAAGCGACTTTCAACTTTCTGAATAACACAAATATTGCACACAGCAAATCAAACGGTAAGTGTGGAGAACAACACGTATAATAACAATATTATTTTTAAAATCGTGGAAAATTAAATCATCATGTTTGCACTGATACACATACATCATTGATTCTTAAATTACGAAAACACAAACTAAATGAGGTGTATCTGGGAACAAATAGATATTAATGGGATAATGGCCAATGGTTGTTATGTTGGGCATGTGCACATCACACGTCTATGGCATTTCCTGTCAGTGACGTCATAGTAA